CAGCTAATTTTTGTAATTTTGTAATTTTCTCCATGTTGCCCAAGCTGGTCTTGAACTTGTGAGTTCAAGTGATCTGTCCACCTTGACCTCCCAAAGTGCTAGGATTACACACATGAGCCACAGCACCTGGCCAATGCTGTCTTTATGTATGCCCATTTGTGTTCCTGGGACAGTCACTTCTTTCCTCCAAACTCATTTTCAGTGACCTAGATTAGGTTTCTCTCTTCAATGCAACCTTCCAGATGATGCCAACCATCCTGATGGCTTGCTTTTCTTAGCTCCTATTGACTGAGAGAAGAAATTTTCCTTCTAGAACTTCACTATTTTTTAACTTTTCAGTGTATCATCCTGATTTCTTCTATACTAAACGAGTCAAGAAATATGCAAAGCTAAAGGATTCAAAGCCACCTGTGTCCACTTTCAAGTCCCTGATCTTGAACAAGCCAACTCTGCTCTCTATACCTCCTTTTTATGCATTTGTAAATTTTTAAAATAGATTATTTTATATTTAAATGATTTCTAAAAGATTGTACAAATATGGCTGTAGGGATGAAAAAACTTTCTCTCCTTCTTTCTCAGGTTTAGTAGTCAGGCCCTATAAGTTGAGCTGGCAAAGGACAGAGTGATGGGAAAAATAGATAATAGAGTTTATTTACATGTGCAGTGCAAATATACATGTGAGAAGTCAATAAAGAGTAATTCAAATAGATGCTTAGAATTGGGGGCTTATATAATTATCCTAATAAAAGGTGATCAATTTTGAAGTGACAAGACAAAGAAACAAGGGTTCGGGCTACTGGAGTGGTAAATTGTTGAAAGAAAAATATATAGGAGAAACTAATGGAATACAAGGCTTATTTGTATGATTTTCTTACCAGTGATTATAGTTGTTTCTTCCTTCTGATTCAGGAGAGCAGAAGGGAATACTTTACAAAGAGAAATTTATACATCTATCCCCTGCCTTGAGGCAGAAAGGGGGAAGGTAGAGAGCCTTTTCTGAGTCTCCTATTTCAGTTGTCTTCAATTGAAAATAATCCTTATGCCAAAGTGACATATTTTGGAGTAACATTTTCTGATTCCCTTCATAGGCTAATAATCTTAAATTTAAATTTGACTTAACTTGTTTCTATATACATTGATATTCTATGTATTTGAGGAGAGAACAGGCAGACAGTAAATATATCTGACTTCAATGTTTTCCTCAATCTTGCTACATTTATTTTTGCATTTATTATAATGTCAACAAATAGTGTGGGGGACATTTCTTAACTGAGACTATCACCTGGGGAAATTTCAAACTGAAGCTATAACAAGGAAGGAAAAATTATCAATTTCAGATTTTAGATAAATCATCTCATTTGAGATTATTTAAAGGATCACAATGGTGTGGGGTGAGGAAACAAATCTACTGACCCTCTCTCTTTAACAGAACTGTCAATTGATTTGGACATGCCTCCTTGGAGTGAGTTCTTACTTTCCTAAGAGTTTCTGAAGATATTTTCCTTTCAAAGTCTCTTACCCTGTTAAATGATCCCAGTTAAAGAACCATCAACATGGGGTAACTCTTAGGCCAACTGTGGTGAATGACGAAGTGTGGAGAACCTGGTACCAAGTATACCCACATTCAAATCCCAGTCCTACCAAGTGCTATCTGTGAGACTTCAGGCAAGTGGCTTAACCTTTTAAAGCCTGGATTTTCTCCTTGAAACCAAACTATAGTATAGATTTCAGGGAATTATAAAAGGATTAAATTAGTTAATATCTGTAAAGATTTTAGAGTAGTGTCTGACGCTTAAAAGTTCTCCATAAAGTTCTCTACCATTTTTGGAGTAAATCAGGTATAAACCCTGGTTATGTCCCTTGTTTAATGTAATTTTGTGAAAATAAATTAATCCCAATGCCCCTTACTTTTTATTCTTCTTTGAAATAGTGATAATAACACCTAACCTATTGATTTGGGTGACATGAAACTAATTCATACAGATAAACTACATAATACAGTGCCTGGCTTAGAGTCAGTGGGTAAAAGCCATTACCGTATCTTTGGTATTCCCCTCCTTTGGTCTGAAAGACAGACCTCTATCCGACACCCATTATGATGTAAAGAAAAGGGTGAGCATGGGAATGAGAGAGAAAGCAAAGATTTTTTAATATAAAAAGCTGAGTTGGGGCTAGCAAATGATTGCAATAAAATGATTGAGCCATGATCTGGAGTTACTTTAAATTTTTAAATATTAAAAATAGAGATATGGTCTCACTATGTTGCTCAGGCTGGTCTCAAACTCCTGAGCTCAAGTGATCCTCCCACCTGGGCCTCCCAAAGTGCTATGCAGGCAACTATTCTTTCCCAGAGTGGCCATAGATAAACATCATTCTCCAGATACGCCCTGCTTCCCTTGACTTTTCAGATGAAGGGTGAAACTCCTCTGATGGTGCTGTCACCTTACAAAATCTCACAGGTCGGGGTGCATGCGAAAGAAACCCTGCATACTTGGGAGCCAGCAGATTTGATCTGGTAGCCACAGCTGACAGACAGAGCTCAGAAAGCATGTGGTAACGGTAGCTAATGCAGATAGGAAGGGGCCAGACCTCCAATCCGCTGGCAGATTCTAAACAGAGAATGCTATTGTCCTGAAGGCAAACCCTATCTGAAATCCAGCAAAATCATAATCATAGAACTTCATGTGAATTTCAAAACGGATAGGGATTTTATTCCTGGAAAATGAGATGTGGCGATTTGAAAATACTTTACCAACTCTGTAAACCAAGAGATCAATTGGCAAATATTTGCTGAAATCTGCTGATAGACATAAAGGAAAAAGCATGAATTTGGAAGCCAGATGAAGCAATGATTGCATTCTGGGTTTTCTAACCCTATGATCCCCTCTCTGCCCTTTAGTTGTTTTCAACTACAACATGGTGTGATGTAGGGTTAAAAGACATGTTTACATTTAATTGACCTAATTAATTTCTGTAATTTTTATTTTAACTTTTGACTTTCTGTAGCTAAAGTTTGGTGGAAATTTCAGAAAATGGTTACCTAAAATATTTTTTCCCAGTAATTGCTAAGACCTGCTTCCCCTCCCCAGTCTTGCTGACATAACTGAGAAGAAAATGTTTGAATGGCTGGGTGACTGGGCAGATGGATACAAAGGTATCCCTTATAAACATGTTATTCAAAATGAGAAGCACCTTTGGCAGGACCAACTTATTTCTAGTACTCAAGGGAAATGAACAACCCTGTGGGTTGAGATGATCAGCAGTTCTTCATGGGAAAAATACTGGAACTAGACCTTGGAGCAGGGGTGGCAGGACCAGGGAAGAGCAAAATAGTTTCATTCAGGGAAACCTTGCAGAGCCTCTGAAGAGTTGGAACTTGGCTGGGCGCGGTGGCTCATGCCTGTAATCCCAGCATTTTGGGAGGCTGAGGCAGGTGGATTAGAAGGTCAGGAGTTCAAGATCAGCCTGGCCAAGATGGTGAAACCCCATCTCTATTTAAAAAAATACAAAAAAAATAGCTGGGCGTGGTGGCTTGTGCTTGTAATCCCAGCTACTCTCGAGGCTGAGGCAGGGAATTGCTTGAACCCAGGAAGCAGAGGTTGTAGTGAGCTGAGATTGTGCCACTGCACTCCAGCCTGGGCGACAAATTGAGACTTTGTCTCAAAAAAAAAAAAAAAAAAAAAAAAAAGGGTTGGAACTTCCACCATAATCTCACAACTACCGTATGCTGAGCAGGGGACCGCAGGGACTGGGCTCAACTTCCCACAGACAGTTAATTCTTACATCAACCATGAGAAGGGGCCAGTAACATTCCCATTTTAAACTGAGATTCAGAGATGGAGCGGATTCTCCAAGGTCATAGAGCAAGCAAGGAACAGGCTAGTATTTTACCCAGGTCTACCAACCTCAAAACTTGAGCATGGTATGCTATAATACTTCTAGTAATGATACAAGTTACCATTTTGGATGGTTACACCCTCTATAAAGTCTCCTTCCTGATACCACCAAGCCCTTTCCCAAGTAGAGTTGATCTTCCCTCCTTGTATTCCCGTGGTACTGCACAGAGATATCTATTCCAGTGATGGTGCATTTACTGGTCACATTTTACTTCATGCCTGCCTCCTCATTAAACTATAAGCCCCCAAAAGGAAGAACTGATCATTGTTCATTATTTGATCATTCATTTACCATTTATAGCTCATAGTAGCAGCTTAATAAATGCGAATGAATGAATGAAAGAATGAATGCCTGTTGTCTTCCCATCACTATGCCCACTGCTTGGCAAGTCAGTTAACCTCTTCACCCTTTGTTTTCCTCACTTACAAAGTTAAGATGATTATAATACTGACCACATAGAGCTGTAGCCATAAGTTAATTGTTAGTAAGTCACTACAATATTGATGAGCACATAGTAAATGCTTAGTACATGTTAACTATTATTGTGATCACATCTAATTCCCATAATTCCCTTTAAATGGAGAATTTTAAATGAAGTATTATGATCTTGACTTCATAGACTAGGACCTGTTATTAGAGTGGTTAAGTGTCTTGCACAAGATCACACGGCAGAAAAAAAGTGGAACTTGCAAATGTCCCTGGGGGTCTGAGCTATTACACACAAACCCTGATATTTCCAGTTCACATACAGGGTCCGGGTTGATTCTTTTCACCTCCATTTTTAGGTTGGGCTTCAGCAGAGTGGAGCTAACCAACAGAGTCATTCATCCAGCGTGGTCCTGGCACAGCACAGGGTCTGTTTGGATTGTTTTAGATTACCACGCTGATGGCATCCCTGCGGACAGTGCTGTCCAGGCTTCCCAGTTGATAAGAGTCACCTGGGTTTCTTACTCAATGACACACACTCCAGGCTCCTCTGATGAGCCTGTTTTAAAAAAAAAAAAAAAAAAAAAAACAGGTTATTTTTATCATCAGAGAAGTTTGTGAAACTTTGCTTTGAGAGAGGCTGAGGCCAGACTTTAAAGGATGATGGCGGTACACACCTTCCAGGGGACAGTTATGAACATCTTAGGTGTTACTAGTACTGCTCCGCCACGCCCCCCTCCACGTTTGTAAATATAAGGACTAAATCAATCTCCCTTAATAATGCACCTGACGTGATAGAGGAGCTCAGAACAAGGAGTGGCGTGGCAGGGAGGCTCAGGTGTTCTTGCTTGACAGTCATTGACTCGTGGAGCTTTGCTCCTGCACTTTTCTCCCTGAAAAAGCTGCCCATAGACTTCCACCGGGGCTTTCAGAAAGGGCCCGTAGGCACCAGCCACCAGAACTGATTATTTCCTAGCATTCAGAGAGCGGCTGAGCTGTCTCCCAGAGGAGGCTCTGGGAGGGGAGAGCACCAGCTTTGGCAAAAAAGGAGCCATTCGCAAGCTTCCCTGGCAGGAAACTAGCGCGCGGACAGAACTGCCCAGCCTTGCGTCAGCGAGGGGAGCCCGCGTTGCTCTCCCCAGCAAGTTTCCTAGGAGTGTCCCTTCTCGCCACGGACACTGCGAAGTCTCCAGTTCTCCGACAGACGTTTTTCCCTCGCAGCAGCTCTGAAGTCGAAGTACTCGCCCGCTGGCTGCAGCGCGGAGTGGAGAGGTCCGCGCGCTGTGGTTAGGGGGAGCCCCGCCAGCCAAATGTCAGGATCAGCATGAGAGGCTGGACTTTAGCCCAGGTCTGTCCTCACCCCGGGGGGCTGCCGGCTTTGCAGGGTGCATCTTCGAGGAGCTGCTCACTTTTTCCCCTTGCAAGCCTTTGTTCCAAGCCTGACGTTGCTACGATTCTGTAATTAACTCCCTCCTCTCCAAAGGAGTCTGGAGGCTGGGATGCTCTGCCAGCTCAGAGGATGTTGACTCTGGAGTGGGAGTCCGAAGGACTGCAAACAGTGGGTATTGTTGTGATTATATGTGCATCTCTGAAGCTGCTTCATTTGCTGGGACTGATTGATTTTTCAGAAGGTAAAGTGGTCGCTCCCAGTCTGTGCTGTTGGGCAGGTCAGGTTTAGAAGTAGATACAGAAGCTGCAGAAGTTGAGAAGGCTTAATATCCAAAGCAAAAGTTTTAAAATATGCATGTTGGGCAGAGAGTATCCTAGCGACTGGACAGTTCATTTTGGTTTATCCAGATACTTGATATTAGAAGGGAAGGGATATTGTGCTATTATCTTTCTATTTGAAATCTACTTGGGTTTAGTATTTTGTGGGTTAAATGTGTTTCTAAGGTGGGGAGTTAGGACTCTATCCTATGGAGTGATAATACAGGTTGGTATTTGGTTGTCAATTTCATGTTGGCTACCACGCCTTAATGTCATTAGTGATTTCATCCTATGGAAGAATATCTTGATTTGTGAAGAGAATATCTATGTGTGCCTCATTAGTTAGGAGGTATGGGGTGAACCTGGGTTGTTTATTATGATATAAAATGGGTAAGCTTTTAATATAAAATTGAGTTAACGGGTGCTCAACAAAAATGTGCTTTGAACGCTTAATCTGCAAAAGTGTTTCATTTGCATTCCCCACTGAGTCTTATTGTTCGTGTGTCTCCTGAGTGGGAATTCATAAGCATGGAACAGCACTATTGCTATCAATAAATATTAGATCCATCTAATAGAAATTTTACTCTTGCTATCCAAAATGAATTTTGTTATTCAAAGATTGAAGAGTTTTAAAAAGTTGATTAACTTTGCTTTAACTATTTGAATATATGTGTATGTATCATACACATATACATACTTTTACAAAATACTGCTTTTATTAAAATAATATACTTTGAATCATTTAAACCTAAATCATTTGATATCAATTCTATATGCAAGCTCTTCTTTCTTCCTTAGTGAAAGAATGGCGTCCCTGAGATACTTGCTAATATTTCTTCCAGATATGGATATGATCTTTTTTTGCCAAGTTATGAATACTTACTTCTCACATTGTGTTTAATGTGGGAAGGTGGAAATATTTTAACTTGCCTATGCGTTCTGTAATCTTTCTAACTACAGGAGCTAAGACCTGCTAGCTATGATGACATCATCCCAAACCACATCCGGTATACAGGTCGTTTCTGTTAATATGTTAATAATGGTCAATGTATCTTATCTTCAGAAAGTCCTTTCTTTTCCTTCAAAGTAGGTTCAGTAGATTTTAACTGTTTAGACTAATATAAGAACATACATTCTCTTGTAATCTTCATATCTTCTTTAAAGTATTCTTAATAAGTTCTGCTTAGACACAATACAAATAATACAGCAATGGGATTAAAACCTCAGAATTTAGTTCTTTTTCCTTTTCTTATATTTCACAGTAATTTTGTTTAACCCCTGAAGGAAATCAATGCATAATTAGGCTTCTCCAATGTTACACAATGTTGCTTTCTCTTGAGATTTCTGCCTCAATACACTAAATTCTGGCGTCTTAATACAGTACAAGTAATTTCACTTTCTATGATTGGAATAATTTTCTTCTGTTTCATTTTGTCACCATGTTTTTGTTCTCTGGACTTAATTGGGTGGTAGCCCCCAACTTTAGTGCATTACACTCGAGCTGATGTGGTTTCAGAGCTGGGTTCTAAAGGACAACCTCCAAGAATGTATTGAGGAAGTCAACTTTCACAGTGCTATGAGGATAGAGCACAGTTCTTATGTGGTCAGTGTTAGTAACATAGAAATTTAAAATCAAAAGTCCGAAGTGTAAGGCCCCTGGCAACGATTCAGCTTTTATTCTTCAAGGTCTGTTTCATATCACTTAAAGTTGAAAGTTTGCAGATTCAAACTTCAAATTTGAGTTTCAACAAAATGAAAATTAGGATTGTAAATCTGACTCCCCCAACTAGAATCTTAGAAATTTTGAGCTGGTCTGTAATGTCTTCTTTGGGAGAGATATCTAAATCATATTCATATCCACATATGAATCTGTATTTCTATATCTACACACATACACACACACACACACATATAGATGTTCATAAATATAATATAGATATTATGTGAAATGTCCAGTAAGCTGGATAAACTTTTGATTATGGAGTCCATGATCATGCTAAAATACAAGGATGCAGGTTCTCACCAAACATAAGGGAAGATCCACATGTACTTGTTGAATCATTCCCTTTTTCCTCTGAAACACATGTTAGATAATACTAGTCTAGTCCAACTCTTACTTTACATAAGAGACAACTACAGTCCGGTGAGGTTAACTGACTTGTCATAAGACAAATGTAATTGGAATCAGAAGCAGGATCAAAACCAAAGACTACTGATTCCTATACAGTGCTTTTCCTGCTATAACATACTTTTATACGTCTTCCTTAATATTGAGAAAGGGAATAAATGAAAATACAAATGAGAAGTTTCTGGAATTCTTGAGTCATCCTGAAATGGCTGTTATTACCACATGAAATATTTGTGGCAAATGCATTTAAAAGATATAAAATCATACAATAGCACATAATTTCTACAAAGCTTTGACCTCAATACAGGCATGGGATCCAAGCATGGGAAATAAATGAGCTAAGTCAGACCACTGATCTTTGTCATAGATTAGAGGCAAGATTAGGACAAATGCAAGCCAAGTGGTCTCCTCAGCCCCTTTCAAACCTCTAGGGTCTGCACTGAATTTTGACCAAATGTAACTTACATTCAATCATGATGAATGTCCAGTTCAAGTAGAGTCCAATGATGAAGCCCAATGAGAAGGTGACCCCTCTGTCCTAGGCCTCATGCCTCTTTCTTTAGACTATGACATTGTCTAAGCAGAAACAGAACTTGGACTCTTTGATCAGTAGCCAAATAGAGGATTAAGGAAAAAAGGAAGCTAAAGTGCAAACCACACATAAAAAATTAAATTACCAGAGCCTTCATTCTCTCTAGTTACAAATAATAAAGGCTGACAGGGTTATCCCAATGTAAATTGCTAAACTCTTCGCTAAGATCATACCATCTAGAAAATATGACCCACAATACACAATAGACCAGAGAATTCGCCTTTTTATTTTTTTTGGTGGTGAAGTGACAATGAGGAGGCACAGAGTAGAAGTCTGAACTTCTTTTTGGCAGCACTGAGCTTACACATTGTCCTCAGGAAGCAGTGATACCTCAGTGGTACCATCATGGAACATTTATTCCACTGTGATTTTGTATATAATAAATTAGAAAGTACTTCTCAGTCTATTTGAATAAGAGGGCCCATATTAATATTGAGATAAAGCAGTATTGCCTTAATATTTTCATCTCTGATGCTGATGAGAATTAGACATAGATTGGAAAGGGATAAGAGAAACAATTCTCTAATTTAGTTTCCAATTTTGATAAAGTCTTATTTTAGAAAAACTTTTCATTGAAATTTAAGACTTAGGACACAAAAGCAATTTGTAAGGAGGATCAAAATCACTAATGTGATTTACAATCAATGGTGCCATTTTGCTTTAGCTGGAAATGGGGTGTGGAACTCAAAAGTATTTTACAATTATGTCAGTGATAAAGATCACCCATTTAAAGATCCAAAAGCTCTTATAAGGGAAAAAATAGAAATATAGCTTACAAAACAACATGGCAAATCAAATTTAAAACTTTTAAATATATTTTAAAAATAATCTTGATCTGGGGTTTACTGGGAACAAAATGGCTGTGAAAAAAATCACTAATGTGATTTTAATATAGGGATTTGAAATTTTGCACATATCTACTCATTAGTAAGGGGAGAGAAGGAACACTCAAGCTTAATCATTTCATACTTTAGCTCGTAATCTTGTCATTGAATTTTAACGTGTGTAGGGTCCCCTGTTGGGCATTGACTGAGAAGGCGGGAAAGTGTAAGATGAACATTAACGTCCCCTCAATATGCTTACATCCTAGTAAAGGAGGCTATTTACTAAACAAGAGAGCAGGAATAATGCTGGGCATAGGCCCAAGCCATGGCCTGTAGAAGCACAGGTAGAATGGTTCGTTCTGGAAAGGACTCCAGGAAAAGTTTAATGGAGAAGAAAAAATAGTTGTAAAGGATCTTGGAGTGGGAGAAGGGTTTCCCAAATTGAAAAATCCAGGAAGACAATTCCAGGCTGAGCAAAGAAATTGAGTTGTGACTCTAAGCACAGACAGTGGGTGCCTTGCATGGATTAGGACAGTAACTTGGATATGGCTTGTAGCACATGGGTCTAAGAACTTTAAAACAAAATATGTGGCTGGACAAGTTACTTAAGGCTCAACCCTAGAAGTACACACTTATTTTCTAACTATTGAGCCATTGACTCAAAGACTCCAACTTTGAGGGAGCAAGTGGGACAGATCCATGTTTTAGGTAGGTCAACCTGAGAGTAGGTGAAGATGAATTCAGAGGTAAGAAAGGGGAAGCAGAGATACTAGTTATGCTGTTGTAGCAATTCTGATGGGAGATTAGAAGGACAAATCCACAGAATTCCCTCCTCAATAAAATATATGGGGAGAACTGTCCATTTCCAGTTTTTCCAGAAGCTCTCATTTAATATGATATCCATGACCTGCAGCTCTTTGGAAACAACATAATTATACTTTATTTCAGAGCAAGGTTGTTTGGGTTTATTAAATATCTTTCTAATGAGAAAAGAAGGAAATGTGGAATACACAGAGATCATAGCTGTAAGTATAGTTGCTCCATTTGTGGTAGGAACTTATAAATTTGGATAGATTTATTGAATATCTTACAAGGTCTTCAATTATTGCAAGCTTTTTATTTTGAAAAATTTTACACACAAAACAAGGTATAGAAAATAGTGTAATCAATGGTCATATATCTGTTATCTAGCTTCAATAATTACCAATACTTTGCCATTTGTTTTCACATGGTTTGCATTTAACAAATATTTCTTGATTGTCTACAGTATGTCAGACACTAGGCTAGGATCCAGAATGTAGAGATCAATTAAAGATAGTTGCTGCCTTCAAGGAATTCTTAGTTGCATAAGAAGAAAAATAATACAAACAAATAAAATGT